TATTTTTTTTTTAAATATGTATAGCTCTTGGCATTGACTACATAACTGGATATAAATTTTCAAATTTGTTGTTATTTTAAATGTAAATCTTAAATATATGGATATATAAGTAAATAATAATTTTAGTTTGTTTATAGAAATTTATCAAATTCATTTTTTTGTTGAAAATGTTGAAAATTTTGATAGAAACAAATTATAAAATTTCTATTATATTACTATTTTGCAATATAATCTGTACAGGTATAATAACTATACTATTTTATGTATTGAAATAAAGTAGCTTAAAAAATATAAGAATCAAACTGATGATAGTTATTTATTAAAAATTAAAATGTTGTGAGTAATCAATACATATTAAATTTGGCTAAAAAGTACTTTAAAACAAGAATATGGCTTTGCTTAATCAATATTTTAAAATTAGGCACGGAAGGTGGTTAGAACAATGACATGACCAATATGAAAGTTATTTTTGTTGTTGAAAAATTGATTTTTAAAAATGATAGATCTATACTTGATAGGAATATCATAATAAACTGTCTATAAAATTATATAATCACTCTAATAAAATTAAATATATATAATTTCAAACCATTTATGTATTTGAGTGATTGGAAGAAAATGTTAGATAGGATTATAAACTATTGATATTTAGTTTAAGTTGTATGTGTAGTGTTAAAATTCAGAAATGATCCATTTTCTTTAGCAAGAAATTTTTACATATTTAAGGTGAAGAAACCTGACTGTGAAATTCTGAGAAAAATCATAATAGAGAATAAGACAAATTAATTTTGATACCTTTTAAAAATGAAACTAGAAAAATATTCAGCAAATGTAATTATTAAAAATACTGATTAATCATTGTTTACTTTATTCAAAAAACTTTTAATGTATTTTAAAAGAAAAAAGTTTAATATTTAATAATTAAAGTTTAATATTATTTTATTGTAATAAATATAGACAAAGAGTGAGTAATTTATTAATTTTCAAGCAGTAACTAAAGCAGATTAATCAATTATAAATCTAAACTATTGGATTTTTAGGCAAATATGAAATTTGGCTTAGATAAGCCAAAATTTGCTTGAAAATATACTAATTCTCAATTAATAAAAATGTGGTTTTTTAATTAATTATCATCAAAGTAGCATTGCAAAAAGTTTCCAGAAATGTTTGTGNTTATCTGTAATTGATTTAAAAGATGTCCAATCGTATTAAGTGATATTCTCATATATACAATATATATATAATTGGGCGCTGTTTTCATTAGCAAATGGCTAGCGATAGAAGCCGGAAAGACCTTGAAAGATTCGCTTCCCTAATTAGCTCTGCACTATGTTTGTGACTGCAAAGAGTATGACACTTATTCTGTCAGCTCACTACGTATATATACTTGCAGAAATTTTTTCTTGTTATTTTAAAATAACCTACTGGAGTTGTTCATTCTCTGCAGGAGAGGGTATACCGTTGGTATCGCGGGAAATTTTACGATTTGTTTATTTTCTGGTTGAGAGAAAGGACAGATTAGCGAAAAAAATAAAGTCTACACGAATAATTTTCTACTATACTGTAGCTACCACCGTTGGATACACATCGTTGACTGTCCGGTAAATTACGGATCAATATCCACTGA